TGCAGCAGCTGGAGCAAGGACTCAGCCTACGGCAGAGCGCCATTGAGACAAGGGAGCAGCAGCTCGAGATGGTTCAACTTGACGGGGCGAGGGGGCGAGAGGCCATCATGCGGGAGCGGCATTCTATTGAGGCGGTGCGAAGGACCGTCCAGGAGGAGCGGTGTCGCCAGCGGAGGCAGTGGATCCATCAGATTAAGGAAATGAATGCAAAATTCCCTGAACAGGTGCGTCCCTTGGCCGAGGAGCGGAAGAAGAAGTACGAGCAGGCGAAAGCCAAGGAGGACGCCACCGAGAGGGCTCTTGCTGCCGACATCAAAACGATCGAGGAGTATTTGCCGAAGCTCATTTCCCTTGAAGACATTCCTGTGAATCCGGAGGAGACGGACATCATTCGACGCCAGTTTGACGAGGTCTTCACGCAAGAGGAACAGACATACTTGGCCAGCGCCGAAGAGGAACAGGCCCGCAAGGAGAGGCTGGGACGAGGAATCGAGGTGTATCGACATCGTATGCTTGATGACCACGTGGCAAAGAAAAATGAAAAACTGCATGACGCCGAGGCAACGGAACGCCACCTCAGTTCTGTTGTGGATCAGGTGCTGAATTAATTACACAACGGGGTCTGCGTGACAAAGACGTCAAGCAAGGGCAGTGCTCGCGGACGCCCATATTTTCTCTCGGAGGACTGCAAACGTATTCATTCCTGTGATCTGGACCGTCAGGGATTCCCGTTAAATCGCAAACGACCTCCAGTCACCATGTGGATACGTGACATCGAAAAAGTTCTCATCGGCCTGTCCACAACCTCATTTGTGAACTACAGCGGCGAGGCACAGCTGGCAAAGACACGCCAGGAGGCAGTTTTTGACAATGGGACGCACCGCCATGATCCCACGCAAAACATCACTCCGTCCCGCCTTGGAACAAACAACCACCGCGCATTCGCACTTTTGCTTCGCGGCGGGAAATTACTGGAGGTGTTTTGTGAGACTGACAGCGACTGCGAGGCCTGGCCTGTTGCTCTCAAGCGTCCACTGCATTTGAGGACTCCTGCGGAAAGGCTTCCTGAGGAACGACGAGGTACGTGAAGAGACGCACGTGCGCAGCCAAGCGATAGTGACGTGGAAATGCGGTGGGGTGGCCCACCTTACACCCGCAATATGGAGGATTTGTTTTGTTGGCCCCCGATGTAGCAGCTCTTTGCGGCGAGGATCACATTCCGCCAGCTCTCTTCCTTCGGGTGGAACAGGAGCCGGCTGAAAAGCCTGAAAGGCGCACAATAACCGCCTGTGGCGTCCGAGTTTGCTCGGTCCCGGATCTCTTTTGCTCTGGCCGACTTTACGACTACTTGTGCGAAAAGCGTGTCGCCCCGCCTCCGTACTAATGCCGTGGGATCTTTTATTGTTCTCTTTTTTTCCTCATGGCTATTTGTGGTTTCCTTGTGTGCTCTTTTGGATGTATTGAGGCGGCTGGTTGGAGAGAGGCTAACTGCCGCACAATTTTGTGTGAAGAGGACTTTTGAACCCCACGTGTTTGGGTCATTAGCGAGTGAAGGGGGAAAAAAAGGAAATGATGGTCACCACCAGTACTACTGCTGCTGCTTCTTTCCTTTTCTTTGCTGCCGCTTTTAAGTGGGCTATCCATCATTTCTTGTGGGTGTTCCACACCCCTCTTCTCTTTCCTCTGTTTCTGGATGCGTGTTTTTAGCACCGCCGTTGTGGGGCCATTGCTTTGCCAACATGCATGCGGGGGTGGTGCTCCTTCCCATAGATGTGCCGTGAAAAAATATTAACACATTTTCAAATGCGCCGTGTGCTTCTCTGTGTGCGTGTAATGTGGGGCTTAGGCCTCACCCAGGCAGGGGCAATGACACCTTTGCACCATTGCGAGGCGGCCGTCGAGGCGGTGCACTAGCACAACAAACTGTGCGTTCCATAACATACAGAGTATTCGCTACTGTGGGGATTGAACACTTATTTTTTGGTGGAACTACCAGGGCTTATCCACTGGGTGCGGTGCGTTGATTCGGCAAAGGGAACAGAAGGACGTCCTCTATGAGTGTGCCTGTGGAGGGAGAACTGAACTGCTACCTTGGTGAGTGTAAAATATTGGTATTTATCTGAAACGAGCGGGCGCATCGCTGTGCATGACGAGACTTTATTCATACGGACGTGATGCGGCGGGTGGAGGAGGCCAACGGGCATGTGCAATACGAGAGCGATGCCATTGTTGCCTGTTGAGATGATTTGAGCAGTGATGATGATGATAATGATGGGGCGAACACTCTCAGGTAGAAACGCTCTTCTCGATGTCAGGATATTAAAGTTGCACGGTAATGTGCCGCAGGTTGACCGGCCCTCTTTTTGTGGATTTTTCCGACACGTCGGTGGAGCTGCTCGGCGTTCTCCAACAGGGTGTTCTGTTCTGCACAGGCGTGGCTGCCCGAGGATTGTATCCGCCACGGGCGGACTGAAGTGTGCACGACGATCCTCCGACGGATCCAGCGTGTTGTACTCACCGCACTGGACGGTCAATCCCGCATTGGCAACGTTGGGGACTCTCTGCTGTTCCTCATGCCACACGAGGCGGGATGCATCCCATGCGTGAGGACCCTTTATCGCCAAAGAGAGGGGGATCAGTGGCTCCTTGCGGGAAATGAGGCGGAAGCAGCAGCAAATGGAAGAATGATAATGCGACTCGTCTCTTTCCACCGCCTGACGACGTTGGACCCAAAAGGGGAGCCACATGTGAATGCAGAGCACAGCCACTTACGTGTGCACTGTTATTCGACCTGTCGTGAAGCGGGGTGGAGCCGTCAACGACTCACCTGGCGGAGATGCGAGCTGGAACGGTGATCTCGCCCGACTCGCACCGTGTGTGTTCCCATCGTACATGCGGGTGCACGCAGGGCACTCCAGAGAGCCTATAAACCGTTTTCTAAATTTGTGTATGCTCACATTGGTCACGTCGCACACGGTTTCCTTCTTGGCAAGAGACCCGGTGATGTTTGGGCACAACTGCAGAGCTTTATTGGGGAGGACGCGAAGACCGCGAGAGAGGCGTCTTCTCTCGACACACAGGAGGGCGGAAGAGGGTGTGAGGGCTTTCGAGGTTGGATGCGACTGCAGTTGGAGGCGCGTCACGATGATTGGCCGCGAGGCGTGATTGTGCGGAGGCAGCGCAGTGTGACGCGTAGTACTGCTGGACGGGGAATTGGATGGAGGCTGGCACAGAGTGAAGAGAGAAGTGACGCACCCACGAAGCAAGAGGCCAATGTTGTAATGACGTTGGTGAGGTGTTTTCCATGGGATGAGCTGAGAGGCTTCTCCCATGGCGCTTAGCTGTGCCCGCGCCAGTCCGTGTTTTCTATCTTTTTGGCTCCACAGAGTGTCCAGGCTTTTGGTTCTTGCTTGCTTGGGACTCCTCCACCATGGGAGTCAACGAGCCACGACGACCCATCGGGATGCCGAACCGACGGGAATTGTGGGCTTCAGCGTGGTCAATCTGGATCAGTGAGCGGAGACCTGCGGCACCTCATTCTGCGGTGAGTATCTCACGCACTGTCACGGTATCGGCGCCTGTGTGTGTCTGCCCCATGACCGGCATTTGTATGGCGTACGCCCTTTGCAAGGCTGAGGGAAAGGGCGGGAATCTCCACTGGCACGTGTCTGCAGTCATAATGCGTAAATTGTGGACTTGTTTGTGCGGCAAGGCAGCAAGGTTGCTCAGGAGAAGCAGCATAGACTGGGGGTACACTTTCTAGCGGCGCGTGCTTGGTGACTCTCGAGGCGATGGCCCCAAAGGGACGTATGTGGGTGATGCAGATGCACTGGATATGCGCAGTGCCATGCCTCGTGGCAGGGAGCGAGGGAAGAGTGGCGTGTTTCCTCCTGCCACGGACCCATCAACTTTTGAAGAGCTGGAGTGGGGCCAAGGGGACAAGGGTGTGTGTCTTCACCTTCTTGCGGGAGGACGCGCAGAGGTTGGATTTCTTTTGTTACTTTATTGTCACGGTGCCTGCGGCGACGTTAATGGGGAGTTTGTTCTCCAGAGGCATTCATTGTGCGATTTGTGCGTGTTTGGTGTCCAACGCTTTCAGCACCACTGAATGGTGTGTTGCGCAGGATCGGAATACATGGATGTGCGAGAGCATTGTGTCGCTCGCCCGTAATAACACACACGCGCACGGTTTCAGCGCGTCTGATACGTCACGTTCTTCGGAACGGTCGAAATCACTTGTGGGACGTCACTTCATTTGCGGCGTCGGGAAAGTGAAGTAAATGGAGAGATATGCCGAGAACGCAATGCCACTCCATGATGCCGCAGGCTGGCGGCGACAAGGATCAGGGAGCCTCTACCCAACATTGAGAAGAGGGCAGCACTCTGATGATCCGGTTTGCTCTTTAGGAAGTCCTGATGTAGTGTACACCGTGTGAGCCTTTTTGCTGCGGATATGCAGAGGGGCGATGTGGGGTGGAATTATTGTTGAAGGCAGCACGGACGCCGCCTGACCTTTATTGGAGGGATGCGTGGTGTTATTCCGTGTTTCCTTGCCTGCGTTGTCGCACTCATGCTGTGAGTGCGGATGGCCACAGTAGTGGAGCTGAATACGGTTCAATGTGTGTTGCTCACGGGGACTGCGCGACACATGTTTTTTGTTGGGAGGCCCAAAGGAGGGGCGCATCGCCGTTGCATGATTCCCGCGGCAGTCCATTACCCTGCGACTGTGCGTGCCGCCGTCCGCTGCGCCACTGCAAGCCTTTGTCTTTGTGAGAAATGGGGAGCGTGACTGCTGTGGCGGTGGTCGAATGCTTCCGAATTGGTGCTTTTGTTGATCCCACTTAGAGCGCCGAGCAGCGAGGGGCTGCACACGCCCAGGAGGTGCGAGTGTGTGCTGCAACCGCACCTGCGATTTGTAGTTGGGATGTGACATGTTTCTTTGCTATTTTTATTTTTGGTGATATGCGGGGCAGCGGTGTGTTGGCGTGTGCGTGCTGCTCATGGCTGCCGGTGTTGTCTTTCCTGCTGTTCTCCCGCTCCACCCTTTGTGTGCGATGGACCAAACGTTCTTACGGGCGTGTGGTGGGGCCGCGTTCTTGTTTGGAAAAAAGCCTTTCGCAGGCATAATGATACAGCCCTCCGTGCCACACGAGGCAGCGGGGAATTTCCTGGGATTTATTGGCGGGGTGGCGCCGCACTCATGCCGTGTGGTTGGTTTGTATTCCGCAATGCACGGTGAGGGGGATGTGCGGCGACAACTTCCTCCAGTGGAGCGACACGAGCAGCACGGGGAGCGGAACGGAGGTGTGGTGGCTGCGTGCTTCCCAGTGATACGTGAATGGCGAATGCAGTATGAAAGGCAGCGTCGCGGCACTCTTTTGCCATGCACACCGCAGATATTTTCCATAAAGCATGCAAGTTGCACTCTTTTCTGTTGTGTGGGGGATTACCGTGATGCATCGCTGTTGCGGTGTGTATGATTTGTGCTTCTGTCAGGGCTTATGTGCCCACGTCCTCCTGCAGAGTGTGTGCGGTGACGGCGGTGCCACACGGGTGCGGGACCGTGGCGAGCGGTATGCGTGGAGGAGCCCTCCGTGCGCACCACGTTGTTGTTGTTGGCTCTCACCAACACTGTGTGGGTGAGTCTCTTGTTGTGGCCTCGATTCATGACTGTGCCTATTGTCTTTCTTTTTCTCATTCTCCGCGTTGGGTGGTTATTGTTTAGATCTAACTCAATCCAACCAGAAAGACAAGGAGAAACGATGCCTGGAAGGCCGGAGAGTGTACAAGGCGGCAATGTGGAGATTCGAGCGCCCACTGTGCCGCAAGGAGATTGTCGGAAGAGAACGAGGCCGGAGTCCCATACTGGCACCGATCAACCCGCTGCGACTTGCAGAGGAGTGGGGAAAAGGCAGCAACCAAATTGGACACTTTTGAGCCGAGTGGAGGATGTACTGCTGGTGGGAAAGGAACGCATCATCAGCATGAGGCTGAATGAATTCCTTCGTAATTTTCTTGGCGGCAGGGGCGTTGTGGACGCCAATGAGGAAGTCTCTATGGAGGTGTTTCTTACGAACCCCATGCGTTTTTCCAACGGCGAAACGTTATTGTGCACAATAACGGAATTCCCGTTATGCCGAGAGACGAAAATGCTACTGGAGGCTGCATATAAACTGAAAGGAGAAGGCGTGTTCTTGCTTCAACACTGGAGGGATTTTGAAGGAAAGGATACGGTCACTCCCATTGCAAAGGGAGCACTCGACGCAGGCCTTCTTTGTTTACTGGGAAAACAAGCAGAAAGAGAGGCAGAGGAAAGGGCAAGGCGGGAGGCAGAGGAAAGGGCAAGGCGGAAGCAACGAATAAAATTTACCTTTTCCACAAATATCGAAGATGTGCTGTTGAGGGGAAGAGTTCGCGCCAATAACACGAAGCTGAATGATTTTCTTACGGTGGAGTTGGGCGGAAAGGGTGTCGTGGAAGCAAATCGGAATGTCTTGCTGGAGGAGTTTGTTAGGGACCCTGAGAGGTACATCGGCGATGAGGAAGTATTGAACGAAATAAAGGAATTATATAATTATTTGAGTAAGGTGATTGCTGTAAGGGATGAAATCAATCTTCGTGAAGATTTACGCAGCCTTTACAATAAAGGTGTGCACAACCTAATGAAGTGGTCAGAGCTTGCTGCGGAGGTAAAGGTAGGTGTTCATGGCATCAATAGAGATACTTTGGATGCAGCCCTCGTGGATGTGAGGAACCGAACAATTAAGAGTGCATCGATGAAACCGAAGGGATTGTACAATTCTGTGTACAATGCGAGGTGGCATCATGTGGTGGAGGTTACTGACGGCAACGGAATGGGAATGAAGGTGGAGGAGGGGAAACCAGAGCAGCAATGGACATTCAAGGCAGCCGGCGAAACTTTCGAAAAGAATGACGGTGCGTTGCAATCCGGTGCAGAGCGTCCCAGGCTGATGGTGCTTACCTCGGACAGGGGATGGCCGTACTCGTGGGAATGGGAGGAGGATGGATCGACTCATGACTGCTATGTGAACTGTGAGGTGGAGCGAGCGTGGCGGATCGTCTTTGAAGATCTAAGCGAATGGTTCAGCACTTACAGTGGGACCGAATTTAAGCCCAAGAAGCGTGTGCTGATTGGGACGCCCGGGATTGGGAAGTCGATGGCTGCCGGCTCGTACCTCCTCTACCAGCTGCTGCACTGCTATGTGGGGAAACTCCAGGTGGTTTTTTATTGTTTTGGAGATACGACGTACGTGTTTGACAGGACCATCCAGACGGTGACAAAATACGAGGGTAATGAAATCTCCAAGATTGTTTTGTATGATTTGTGGCAGCGTGGAATGAAGGGGTACATTATCTACGATGTGACAAAGCAAGGGATACCGCCAGCGAGTTATTTTGCACTTTTTCGTGAATGGGGCATGATTGTGGTGGCATCCCCAAAACTGGACAACTATGATGGATGGAAGACGGAAGTAAAAGCCACGCGAATCATCATGAATTGCCCCGACGAGAAGGATGTGAAGGCGATGTGTGCATGGATGAAGCGCGATGGGGATACATATGAGCAAACGGACTATTGGAAGATGGTTGAAACACACATGGAAAAAGTGGGGCCGCTTCCACGGCATATATTTCATGCGAAAGATTTTAAAGCACGATTTGGTGCCGTTGAGGATGCCTTGGAATCGATCAATTCTCGGTATGCTGACGATCGCTTTATACTTCCGGGAGAGGGACTATGGTATTCTAAGGATCCGTCCCAAAAACTCGTGAGGATTGTCCGAGTAAGAGGAGAACGCGGTAATGAGAGGTTTATCAACGCACCGATATGTTATTTCCTTGGGTCTCGATCAGCGAATATTTTGGCAAAGGCAATGAGTGAGAAAGGCTTTTTGTTGTTTGTATTGGGGGCGAGGAAAACTATTTTGTCCGCATGTACGGACAGGTTTTGTTTGCGCGCGCTCATCTTTGGGAGGTTTGTCAGTGCAATGGCCGAGGAACTCAAGGAGCTGAAGTCACCAGCACATGGTATTCAGGACACTGTGCTGAAAGCAAATCCAAGAGCGCGCCCCACCGAAATACGTGAAATACCTGGAGTTGGAGGAATTCGTGCGAAACAAAATATAAATTATCAGGTGCTGTACATACCGATGGTCAGGAACTTTCCACTGGTGGACTGCTTTTTCTTCGTGGAGTCACCGCGGAGGACGCTGGTTGGGCTGCAGATGACTACGGCGGGTGAGCATCACACGACAACCAGCACCGTGCGGCAGTTCACTAAGCATCTATCGGGGGTTTTTAATGGTTGGGATGAATTTGCTCAGGGATTGTCGTGGGAGATTATTTATGTGCAGCACGCAGACAGCATGCCGTTGAATGGCTGGCAGAGATGTGATGTCGTCGACCCGCCGAGTGTGGGAAATGTTGATCGTGGGAGGATTGTGGAGTTCTGGGAAGCCACACGTCAGTACCAGTTTACGCTGACAGATTGTTTTCTCAGGGGGAAATTGTTTTCCGAAGATGCTGAAACTTCGTGAGGCAAAAAGCTTAGACGCGAAGATTGAAGAAATGACTGAGGAGGTTAGCGCAGTGCGTTTATGATGGATTATGTTAGCGAGTGTTTTTACTTCTTTTGTATTTGTGTGTTTCCGCAGGGTTAGGTCAGAAAATTTCTTTTTTTTCAGAGAATCATCGTGGTCAAGAGTGTCGCACCACTACAACTATTTATTTTTTTTTACTTCCGTGAAGGCTCCGTCGCCCCTGGAGGCCTTTGCGGGATGTGGGGGCCGCACAATTTCTTCTCGTTTTTGTGGGAGTTTGTGAGAAGAATGCCTGCGAGGATGGCTGGCTGCCCAAATGAATTTATATACCGATGCAACGGAGATGTCTCTGCGGGATTTCTTCCTCTTTTATCGCATGTTCTTTTGGAGGACCGCGATTGAGGGCGTCAGGGACCCGACAGCTGTACGACGGAATTGTTTTTTTTTTTTTCATTTTGTTTTATTTTTTGAAAGCCGTGCCATATTCCTGCATGTTGATGTGAGGTAACGGCAGTGATTTTTTTACACGGCGACGGTGTGCAGCGACATCGTGGCCCGCGTGTTGGACCTGGTACGCCAGCATGGCGATGCCCAGGTGCAGCTTCCCTTCATTGATGAACACGGGCCGTTGGATGCGGCGGTAACCGTCGCCGCAACCATGACATGTTTGCGATTGATTTCAGGAAGTATCGCCAAGCAGTTGGAGGGCTCGACCGTTGCGGGACATGTTGCGGATCGCCGGGCGTTTCAAGTACCAAATTTCGATGCTCAAGTGCTCCTGCCCATCGTGTGGGGCGGCCCGGGAGTTGGGGGCAAGCAATGGCTCGTCATTGCGGAAAGGCAGATATTAGGCTCGGACTACACCCGTGCCGTTGCGGACGTACAGAATTGGACTGCTCGGATTTACTTTCAGACGGAAGAGGCGCTCAACTACCGCTCGGCACGTGAAACTGACATTTCGGTGGTTGGCGGCCTTTTTGCGGAAGGCGGAGACGCTGTGTCAACGAGAGGCGCCCACCTCTCGGAGAGGGCCGCCAGATGGCCCCACGCACGCACGGCAATGGCGGAAATAAACAGCCAAATCAACGGCGTCGTTTGATGGCCTGGGGTGTGTCAGCATCCGCGTTTCCCCAACCCAACCTTGCGGGGGAGAGACGGCTGGTCAGCACCCAGATGTCTTAGGGCAATGTTGGGAGATCCTATTTTTTTTTTTGTTGCCGTTGCCTCCCCACCGTCCCCTTGGAAGAGGGTTCCGTTTCAGAGGGTCGGGTGCTGCATTTTCTTGCATTGGACGTTACCACCTGGGCTCCGCGTGTGTGGAATGAGGGCATCTCCGAAGTCGTCGCTTGCCTCCGGAGCGCATGCAGTTATGACCATTGGCACCAGGCGGACGCTCAGGTTCAGCCCGCCTTTGACGGTTCGGTATCGTGTAGGCGCACGTTGGAGACAGTGGGGGATCCTGCCGATCGTTTCAA